GTCAAGTCTCATCAGACACCAGAGGACACACACAGGGGAGAAGCCCTCTGTTTGCAGGGAGGGTGAGGGAGTCATTACCAATAAACCACACCTTAGCCACGGGAGGATAAATGTAGCCACCACATACCTCGGCTCTGAGGGAGCTTCAAAGGAAGTCTATGACCCCTTACATTCCCTAAGAGTGTGATGAGCACAGAAATAACTGGTTACATAGATTCTCTGCTTTCATGATAAGAGAGAAGGTAGATAAACAGCAGAGGGTGTCTTACTTGCCCTGGAGATGTTCATACCAATCCCCTTCATGGTTTTTGGACCCCTGTTTTAATAAATTTTGTCTCCACACAAATCTGAAGCCCAGACTGTGTACCTCATTCCCCCCTTATCACTGAAAGCAGTGGGGTCCAAGAGGGCCACAGAGAACGCATACTCGCAGCCCCGGTCTCCGTAGGAACTGAACCCCTGGAAGGGCATTCTCCCTTGGCCTCTCCTCATTCCTCTCTGGTTTCCTCTGACTTCTGTAGCCTCCAAGGTGAAGGCCTCGTGCATGTGTGGGTGCACGCCTGTGTGCCTGGCTCAATCTGGGGTATCTGGTCTCCCTCGCTCTCTCTTTGCTGCCGCCTCAGGGTCAGCACAGCATGTGGACTCCAGATCCAACCATAGTGGGTCAATTCTCAGCTCTGCCCTCACCAGCTGTGTGACCTATGGCAAGGTGCTCAACCTCTCTGTGCCTCTTTTCTAATCTATAAAATGGGATGGGAGCGCCAGCCTTTTGGTTTGATCGATAAGCACAGGCAGAATCTGGCACAGAGGCTGGCTGAGAGGGCAAGCCCCGCCCTTTGTTATTCTCTCCCTGCCCACGTCTTCCAGGTCTTTAGAGCTGGACAAAGAAGGGGCCACTCAGGCACTGGTCAGACACAGCTGCTTCACCTGCAGACTTAGCTGCCCTGACGAGGAGGTGAGAGGTCAGGATGCTAAGTGCGGGCAACCTCCCTTCCCACCGCTGCCCTTCCCGCTGAGCCTGGGCAGCCCCAGAGCCCCTCTACACACAGTCACCTGGGAAAGGCGGCCCTCGCCCACACCTGCTGAGAACGGAGTCTGGAGCCGCGCCTGCAGGAACCGGACCACCCGTGAGTCTCGGAACCTCTCCTGCCCCCCTTCACACAGTGTCCTCGAAGCCCACACCGCAGCTTCTCTAACGCACGTGCCGTGTACCTGGGCCTGCGTGCTTCAGTGCAACGGTGTCACCACCTTGAAATTCTTAACTGTTGAATATTTTATCCTTCAACTCACTTTTTCTAAGAGAAGTCTGGTGGAGAATGGGGCACACTGTGAGCAGAGCAGGCCCGCACAGTGTGGGCTCACAGCTAACGGCCCCGAGGCCCCGGGAGCTCAGGGCTCCCGTGGAGCCAGCAGCGCAGGTGCACAGGCTGCACGTGAGGACGAGGTGGCACGAAGCCTCTCCCGCTGGGTAGGTGACGGTACTGACAGCTCCAGGAGGCCACGCTGTGCTTAGACCCAGAACTCAGTTCTGGTACAGAAAGGAGGCCCCATCCTCTCCTCTCTGAACAACCTCCCTGCCCCTGAGGGAGCCCTAACTTGGCCCAGTCCTGTTCCCACCACAATGGGTTCAGGAAGGCCGAAGCGGGGAGCCCAGACCCCATGACTGCGAACAACGGCCCTTAGTCCCCCTCCCCGTGCAGGCTTGTGCAGCATCTCTACGTGAACCATGTGGATGTCAATAACCAACATCCACTATTATTGGCTCCTTTCTTTCATGCTTTTTTAAGGGAATCTGTGTGTCTGTGGCTTTGTTTCCCTATGGGAAGAGAAGCACCATAACCTTTCCATCTTCTGCGGCTCTCAGCAGCGGCCACGGGAGGGACGGAGTTGGGGGTGATGCCGGCAGAGGGGCTTCGACTGAAATACTGTGGGGGAGGGGCCCCAGAAACTTCCAGGGGCTTCTCACCTGCACCTCCCACCAGAGGTGGCCCTAGAATGCCCTGCAAGGCTGGGCAGTTCAAGGCCTGCCCCCTCCCCTCCCCTCCCCTCTGGCAATAAACCCCATTCCTGGTGAGGCCGCCAGCCCCCAAGACGCCCCGAGTCCCTGGCCCCCATCATCCGCGGCCTGCACAGAAGATGGATGACCTGTGTGGTGGCGGCGATGGTGTGCGACCCCACAGTTCAGGCGCAAACAGGGACTCCGGCCTCTCACCCAGTCTCGGCTCACCTCTAGCAAGGGGGCTGGCGGCTTATACACCCTCCCGCCACGGGCAGCTGCGTGCTGAAGGGGGGCTCGGAGGAATGTGCGCCGCCTGACACGCGCTGGGCTCGGCTCGGGACGCCTGCAGGGCCTCCACCTGACACTGCGCGTGCCCTGGATGGCCACACAGGACACCAGCAGCCTCCATCACATGTGCCGCTCTGACCGCAGTGGCCCCATGGCTGTGCCAGCCCCACCGGCCTGCTGCTCTACCGGGACCCTAGCTGAGCAGGTGAGCGCGGAGCACAAGAGGGTAAACTGGTCTTTGGCTGCCAGATTCCGCCTGGTCGGCCACTAGCCCAGGCAGTACCTGAGGCAGAGCTGCCTGTGGGGAGGGTGTCACCCACAGACGCTGTCCTCAAAGCTCAGGCCCCTGAAAACTTACCAAAGAGGTTTCCTTAAGTTCGTTTTCAAAAGTAGGAGGCCGTTCATCTATCACCCAGAGAAAACTCCTGTAACATTCTGAAATATGTACTTTAAGATCTTATTTTGCAAGCTCTCGTGCTTGATGTCAACAGCTTTGCTGTTTTTTTCTTTTTCTCGTAATATGCAGGTGTTTAGAAAAAAAGAAATTTAGAAAATACAGAAAATAAAAGCCACTCATAATTGTATAGGCAACACCAATTAATACAGCATCTGGTCACCACACACAGACACATGTGCACACACACAGGAACACACGTGCACGTTTTTCTTCTACGAAATCTTTTGAGCCCCCATCTTACCTTGTCACCGGCCTCTGTTTTTGCTCACCAAGACAAGCCCGCTTTGGCCTCGTGACCGGTAGGTTTCCATGCAACTCAGAAGCAGGCGGGCAGCAGGGGCTGTGAGGGGTGGGCACCGCCTGGCCCAAAGTGAGGAGACAAGAGCGAGCGCTTCTCCTCCGGGTGCAGTACCTTCAGGGGCCACTGGGGAAGACACCGAGGAAGAAGCCTCTCAAACGCCTTCCCTTCAGTTTCCATGGTTACAACGTGCCCCGCGTCCCGGGGTCGGACTGGGGTTTAACAGACCTGCTCTTGTTGGACATGAAAAGTGTTTCCAGAGAGAATCTGTCGAGATCTTGGCCTGGCTTGCTGTAGGGTTACCCATGTGGTGCATTCGGGGCTCAAGGAAGTTCTGCAGCTTCCCGGGTTTAGGGCTAAAGCACACCCCGCCCTCACCCCTCCCGCGGTCACTGCATCTTCCCCTCCAGAGGAAGGTGTCTGGGACTATTAACTGCAAAGACACTGCCGAAGAGGACAAAGGCCATGGCTGGCCCGGGGCTGGGGTGCTCCCTGGGGAGCAGAGGGGACATGGGACACTCACTGCTGGTCTCACCTGTCCTGCGTGCTTATCGTCCTTCTCCGTGATTGTGCGGCTTTCTGCCCCTGGGGGGGCTGCCAGCGAGGGGCTCCCGAGACGCTGCAGGCTGGGGTTGGCGGTGGGAGTGCTGGAGGCCAGGAAACCCAAGACCCTCCAGCAGGTCAGTGCGGTGTGGACAAGACCTGGCCTCACTGGATGGCTAGGTCCTGTCCTTCGGGACACCCGCTCTGGACCCCCGTCGGAGGTGTGGCTGTTTCCCTGATGCCCACCTTGGTCTCAGGAGGCAGAAGAGAGACTGGGTTATCCCTCCCACCCGCTGCCCGGAGAGTCACAAGGGCCCCTTCCCAAACAGCCGGAGCAGGCTTAGCAGAGGGAGTGCTGGGGTCTCACAGGGTCACTATGGAGAGGGATTTACTCCTGACCAGGATCCTTCTTTGCTGGTTCTGTTTCTGTGTTGTCTTCACACCAAATCTCACAAGGACAAGGCCGGGTTTTTACAGCATCACTGGCCCAGGGGCCAGCGAGCCTCCTTATGGTGTGTTTGTTACAGGCAGGGAGACAGGGCGGCTGGTGTGACGCTCCCCCAGGCGAGAGAAGGGACCACACTAGGTTGTGTCTCCTGCGGGGTTTCAGGGGTGCTGGCAATAGGGGCGGCCACTCCTTTTCTAAATATGTCAGACAACCGCTGAGTTCTGAAGTTATTCATGAAACTTTTTTTTTTTTTTTTTTGCAGTACGCGGGTCTCTCACTGCTGCGGCCTCTCCCATTGCGGAGCACAGGCTCCGGACGCGCAGGCTCAGCGGCCATGGCTCACGGGCCCAGCCGCTCCGCGGCATGTGGGATCTTCCCAGACCGGGGCACGAACCCGTGTCCCCTGCATCGGCAGGCGGACTCTCAACCACTGCGCCACCCGGGAAAGCCATGAAACATTTTTTGAGCACCTGTTATCTTGCAGGTACCACACATGAGAGCTGCAGAGGTGGAGGTGGGCAGAGCTGGGTGTCAGGAACCAGCTCTACGGTCGTGGAAGAGGCTGGGGATTCCATGAGATGCCGGCTTCTGATGGCACAGTAGACCTCTTCTACCACAAATATTAGCTGCAAAGATACATAATAAAGAGAGAGGCATGACTCTTGCAGCAAAAATAAGGGTGTGGGGTGGA